AGATGCTGGATTGCCCAAATCTTAACTCCAAATCTCTAGCAAAATCAAGGGAGAAAAAATTTACCAAAGTTGGAGCAAACGAATTTCAAGTTTATAAACCGATTAAATAGAAAATCTATTGGCAAAAATGTTAATGTTACCTCTACAGTGGTTCCATGCTCCAATCCACTTCAATTGAGCTCGAAAATCAAGTTAGGACCTTGTTCCCTGTATGCATATTTTCAATACTTCCAACTTTTAAAAATCTGAATTTCAAACCCTCAATTCATTCCTTGTTTAAATCATACTTCAAATAACTATTATAACTCATACTTCTCATACATTTATCCTCAAACACATGATCAAATTCAATCTAAACCATCAAACTTCAAGAATCGTCACATATTTTCACAAAAATTGCCTAAGTGCCATAATACGAACTCCTATACTCTTAGCATATTCAACATATCATCAAAATCCTCAAATACACCTTAAGTTTCAAAAATCATTCTCTACATACACATAGGTACATTATCAAATCTTTAGCCATATGCATCAAAAATTTTATCTAAGTCCTCAATTTACTTAGCTTGCACCACATAGTTCATATCAAAAGTCAGGGATGTTACATAAACTACTTCACATGCATTGACTTATAGATAAAGTGAATACCTCGATATTATTAATTAAGGATAAAAGGATATCCAAAATACTAGAAATAACATGTATCTCTAATCCAATCCTATTGGCTTCTAGGACATACACTAACAATATTTTTATGTAATATTGTGTTTTGCATACTAAAGAAAACAAGATAAGATACCATAACAGCCATTATTAAATTGACACACACAACAAACACACACACAAGTAAAGGTTTTTGTAGAAGCACATTTGGGGTTGGTGGATCATCATCAAGACTTGTTGTATGATCAGTGATAAGTACCATGGGCTTTTGAACTTGGTCCCTAGTAAGTGATAGCTAAGATATGGCACTGATAGAGCCATCGGTATCAATTAGTGAAATATATGAAGTGACAATGTTTATTAACGATGAATCAAGTTTCCTAAGATTGAAGTTGCCCTTTGTAAATTTGAAATCAGCAGGAAATCTTACATACACACAAAGCACACACTAATGTTTTTTAAATAATTTATTATAACATTAATAAACTGTATTTTTAATATTAAAAAATAAGAAAAAAATATTAAAAATTATTATCAAACATAGAAAATGTAGGAATTGTAAATGTTCAAAAATGCAAAACGAACAAAGTTTTGGAAAGGACTAAAAGGGAAAAGTGGGTATTCAATTTGAAAGATAGGAGTAGTTCATTATATGATCTTTTATTTGCATTTGACCTATCACCATAGCAAAGGGAGAAATTATCAAAACAACTCATAACTCTTTTTTTTTTTTTTTTACTAAAATCTCTTACATTGGTGTTTGATAAGCGTGAAGAGGAAAGAGAAAAATGATTTTTCCTTCTTCCTTTTCATTCATCATGGAAAAGAGAAAGGGAGAGACGAAAAGAAAATGGGTAGATTTACACATTCCTTTTTATTTAAATCTTAATCTCTTCCGAAGTGCAAAGAAAAAACTCATTTAACTTAAATTAATTATTTCTTTATGTTTTTTCTCTTAGATATTTTTCTTTCTTTCTTTTCATTTTTCTTTTTTTGTCAAAATGTGAGAAGGAGAAACAATTTCTCCCTTCCTTTTCTTCTTTTTTTGTCCCTTTCCCACCACTTTTTTCAACTTCAATTAATCATTTTACTTATGGTTTCACCCTCAACTTTGGTGTTAATTACAGTAATAATGCTTAAAGAACTGATAAATGTTTAATTATTTGATTTATGGGGAAATGGCGCAATTTATATGATACTTGAATTTAAAGCTCTGTTTGACCAGAATTTATTAGGAACGTTTGTCTTCCACTCTGATATTATTGTCTCATTCATTAAGCTTGATCCTGAGAGATTATTGTGTCGCGATTTATTCAAACATTCCCTCTCCAAATCCAATATTGATCCCCTTGGATCTCAGCAAGGATAAAAAAATTAACCCAATTTAATTGGATATATTATAAATGGATGGTCCTGCAATCGTGATCTTATCCTCTCGTTACATCATTTATATTCAATCTAAATTAAAGTAGAGGATTAGAATGTTTCCGCATCCAAAGCTCGAATGTAGGGTAACTTTCTACATAAAATCTTTGACCATAGACTAACTAGTGTGAGAATGCCACTGTTTTTGACGGTCGTGAGCTCATCATTACAAGAGCATAGTGAAAGTTTGAAAAATGTTCACTTATCAAAGCAAAAGCAACTCTAGGAAGATTACAAAGTAAAAGTAGAAGTGATTCAAAGAGGCCTGATGTTGGCTAATCATTAATGCAAACCAAATCATTGGGACCATCCCATGATTACATCTTGCATGTTTTATTGCCAAGCAGCCTTTCCCCTAATCCCTCCTCCAACTTCTTCTTATTGCATTTTAATCAGATTTTTAGCCGTATTTTGAGATTACTTTGCCTTCCTTCACATCTTTAAATCTTACAAGCCCCTCCCCCAGAATCCAGGGAAATGAGAGAAAGAAAGGAAACCCACTTGAAACAAATTAATGGGACCTTGTACAGAACTTATCGGAGCACTTTAATTTCTTTCTTTCATTTTTTGTCCCTAAAAACCATGTCCGCCAGTTTTATTAAGTAGAAATGAAACACAGAATCTCTTTCCATTTTCTTCGTAGCTTCTCTACATGCTCTAATCAGTTCAATTCCACGTACATAAGTTGAGGCAATATTTCTCCCAACAGCCATTCCCATAATTAAAAGTTGAGCTTCTTATTTGATCATAATTTTGGATCCCATTCGAAATAAAGTTTATGAGATCAAAAAAGAAAAGCAAAACAGTTTTGCAAATTAATTATATTTACCATTTAAATTTAGTGACATTTTAAAAAAATAACCCTTAAAGATGAGATGTTTTCAAAAATAACTCTCTTTATAATTTTAATTATTTTCAACTAAATTGGATAAAGTTACCGTTAACGATGTTACATGCCACATTAAAAAAAAACTATTGTTACACGCTATGTTGAAAAAAAATTATTATTACACTTCATACACAAAAACATGTTATATGCCATGATAAAAAAAGTTGTTACACAACATGTTCAAAAATATTATTGTTACATGCTATGTACAAAAACATGTTATACATCATGGTTAAAAAGGTTGTTATATGCCATATTGAAAAAAAATATTATTGTTACATGTCATGTATAAAAACATATTATACACCATGCTGAAAAATATTATTATTTTACACCATATTTAAAAATTTTTTATTATACTTAATACCTAAAATATTGTTATTTATAAACCAAAACTTCAAATCCTTTCAATTCTTTTCATTTCTTTTTTTTTGACAATTTAACACCGATTACAGTGTTCTAACATGTTTTCATAAATCAAAACATAAAATTTTCTTATCTAAAACACCTATTTCGACTAAAAGTCGAAAAATTTCCTTTGAAACCCTAGGTTTATAAATTTCAAATTCTTGAGTTTATTGATATCTAGGTCCCAAATTGATCCAATTAAAAGCTATTTCAAACATCTATGATCATTTCTATTGTTCTAGTTTCATCCAAAATACTTAAAAATCAAATTTCTTAAATAGCCACTCACTCCAAGTACATCACAACCATCGCTTGGCATCTTAAAAGCGCGGGAGAGAAATTGAGAGTATAGCATACTAATGCCGAAGAGAGAAATCAATAACATTAGAAAAAGCTGGATGGTGGGATAGAAATGGGATGCACAAATTGAGAGAAATTGTGATAAATGAATCAATTTATCTAAAATAGTTTTAAAAATATTTTTATCTAATCATGACTAAATATAGCTAAAAGTAGTTAAATTTATTTTGATGGTTATTTTTAAAATATCTTTATCAAGAAAAATTATTCTTCACAATTTTTTCTTTAAATTTAAATTTATGTTTGCATTCTTAAAATTAAATTATTCTGAACGTTCTAATTTATACCTATATGGGTGAGTTTATCGACCATTATATGAGGCTAAAGGCGAATAATGTGCTCACGAGGGACATTAAATAGCAAATAGAGCAGCGCATCACATCACATCACATCACCGAAAGGTATACTGCGACAAAAGAAATTCCTCAAATTCTTTACCTATGATTATCAAGCATAAGATGATTAATCTTAATGATTATTTATTTTGTAACTCATTTGCACGTTTTAATATTTTACTTTGGCCCCAGTTTAGCATGCTGATAACAACTCTGAATTATGCTGTCTTTTGAATAAATATTAACATCATTAGTTCATGACTTTCTTGTAATGTTTTGTTTTTGTTTTTGTATTTATTTTTCAAAATTTTCGCACCAAATGAGTTCTATGCATTTAACAACACACTATTTTGTCGGTAGAAACAGCTTGAAAATTTGACCTTCAAAAAGGTGGTGAAAGGCCTCCACATTTAACAACATTGAAGAGCTTGAATCATGAATTTGCAATTTCCCATCATTTAACAAACAAGTCCCTACACAAAAGGATACAAATTAAGTTATATTCGACGCCTAAACTGCTCACACACAAGGTTGTGAGGATGCCTCTCCGATTCAAGTTGAGAAAGAATACATACATAGAAAAACAAAGAAAAGAAAATTATGCTTTAGTCGATTAGTGAATGTAATGCAAAACTGGGTCCCTAGTCTACAACCAGGAGCAATTGATTGATCATCAAAGCCAAAGATGGAAGAAATAAAGCAGTTTAATGTACTCCCAGCCCCACACAAACTCTACAATTTCACTATAATTAATATACCAGCCGCATCCAGCTTTGTTGTGGCAAAACCTTCATGAAATATAGACAAAGCCTCCAACAAATCATGATAGATTCTTAAAAAGTGAAAGCTTCATAATTCAATTGAAATAAAATACTGAACAATTCCTATCCACCTTTCGCCACTCTCCCACTATAAATTGTGTAGAGAACATTACCCAGTTGCAGCGCATCTTATTAACCTATATTCCGTCCTTTCCCTCTGTCTCTCTCTATCTTTATTCAATACATTTTGTATTGCGAGGATGAAAATGTCATATGCCAATGTTGCAGCCGTCTGTGTTGTGCTTGTTCTGCTTCTTGGGAAAGCACAAATGTCTATGGGTGTAACTTGCAATGCGTTGCAGCTGAGCCCATGTGCAAGTGCCATCACATCCTCCACCCCTCCCTCACCCCTTTGTTGCAGTAAATTAAAGGAGCAGAGGCCTTGCCTCTGCAACTATGTCAGGGATCCTAATCTTCAAAAGCTTGTCAACTCTCCCAACGCACGGAAGGTTGCTAGCATTTGTGGCTCCCCATTTCCCAATTGCTGAGTTTCTATACAACTTGAAATGGTATTAAGAGTGTCAGTTTGTGCGTTGAGAGTAGAGTAATTGGGGTGCAGTCTTATCAGTGCTACAGTAATTGCATGCTTGTATAATTAAAATAATTAATATTGGTTTGAGTCAGTCTTGTGGAGTGGGTTTACTCTCTTTGATATTGTACTATGAGTTCAGCTTTCTCATCAGAATAGTGAACTAATATTTTTCATGTTCTTTCAGTGAGTTCAGTTGTTTCATCCTATTTGAAGCAAGATGTATATTAAAGTTTTTTATTTACAGTATTATCTTATATATTGATGGTAAAATTTTTAATTTTGCACATGAAATATATAAATAATTGAAACGTGTTTATTAATAAATATATCAATTTATGAACAAGGCTGGCTATAGCATAAAGTCACCAAAGACCTTGCTTTAGGTTCCAAATTTTCACAGACCTATAATTTTATAATTATATAATTAATTATATTAAAATTATATAAAAATTAAGATAATTAATAAAATATCTACATGTCCTCTCATGCCTAACAATATCTATTTTCTCTCATTTCCAAATCCCTATTAAATCTCAACTATTTATCTCATGTCTCACTAAAAATAGGTAAAAATTATAATTAAAAAAATGATATATTCTCTCACTTTCTTAATCATGTGCCTAATAAATCTAAGTTTTTAATCACTTCCTAAATCCCACAAAGCTATAAATTCTCAATTATTTCTCATAAACTGTTTCTCTTATTTTCAATCAATTAATAATAATATGTACTTAATAATCTCTTACAGTTTTTTTTAATAAATATAAAATCAATTCTTTTTTCAATTTATAATATCCACTTATGATTTCTTCTTTCCTCATTTGCTCTTGCTTCATTAACTTCAATAAAAAGGTCACATTTTCTTAATTTCAATAAAAAAATATCTCATTTGAATATTTTCCTTTGCCTTTGAGGTTATTAAGCTGTCCCTGTTTATGAATCTTTTTAATCGTAGTTCAGTGAATATGTGATAATTCTATAATTCATTTATAGAATTATAAAATTTCATTACTAATGTATAAGATGGTATTTTACAATTTTCCATTTTCTCTTACGTTGGAAACGAAACCTTTAGCAGTGAATGTTATATTAGCTGTTCGGCAAAGCGACGTCTATTTGAAATGATGAAATAAGTGACAAAGTCGCTCCACAAATTTAGTGGTGCATGAAAAGGTATATGAGAAATAAAAATATACTACACACTTTTTTTTTTTTTAGGGAAATGAGATTTATACTCTTATAATACAAGGAACAAAAAATCCCAATACATCATGACGTAATACTTTTGAAACAATACTAGGAGAATTATTGAAAATAGTAAATTTTTCTAAATTAGAAAAGCCAATATTAACCATGAAATCTTCAACTCGATTGCCTTTCTTTATAAACATGTCATGGAAGTACCACTCATTGACACAGAAAAAGATGTTGAATTGATTGGAGTATATCAAAATTTGAGCAAGGATAAGATATCGGATTCTTGAGGGCTTGAACCACAATTTTATTATCAATTTAAAGATCAATTTTTCGAAACCCCAAATCCCATGCCAATAACAAACCTAAGGTGACCATACGCAGCGAAATATTATTAAAATTTTAATCTCCTAAGACATGGATTACTTTAATTAAAACTAATCTAGAAAAACTACAAGAGAAAGATTTTGACATACCTGAAAAATTATGTTTGCTTTTTTTGGTGAAGTTCTCCTTGGCTTTTCGTTTTTGACTTTTGTACACCAAGTAGGACTTAGCAAACCATCGCAACACAACTGTCCTGCAACTAATGATGATCCACATAGTAATTTACCAAAATCTCTTCATTAAGAATGTGTGAATCCTAAGCCAAATTTTATTCTAGCAAACTCTCAAATTTGAGTGATCCTATCTCAACTTATGAGAAAATAAAACAAAATTCTTCTGTACATTCAAGAGGTGGCTAAAGGATTCTTTATTAGAGTGAATTGACCTACTTTATATCCAACAAAGATTAGAAAATATCTTGGGCTAATTGGGTATTTGTTTAATACTCCATCAAATCATTTCTCATTTAGCCCAATGCTTAATTGGATTAAGCCTCTATAAAAAAAATTAGATCACATCCAATTCAACTCAAATTAATTTCAACAATTCACCTTATGTGTGTGACCCATTAGGTACCTAACATGTTGGCAATAAATATAAATTAATTCAATTAAGAATTTATAAAAATATTTATAGATCATGAACAACATCTAGCAATATAACATGACCACCTAAATGTTAAAAGAGTTAATATGGTTTGACTAGCTTTTCAATGTATAGTATCTCAATGTAATTTAATCCTTTTATTATATACCCTAGATAGATACAAAGCCTGGCTCGGTGTCTACTTTCTAGTTTACCTATATTAGTCTTGTAGCTTTCATTTTGGCCTATCAAGATTACCTTGGCCAAGGAGTTTTTGTCAATAAAAGCTAGAAGCAAATGAGATATGTCCCCTTCAAATCAATTGTAGTGATGAATCCCCTTTGAACTATTCATTCATCTTCACGTGCTTCATGCCATACCTAAAAGCACTGTTTAGGCATCTGGTCGCCTTTAAACCCATAAAGGTGAAATCAAGGAATGACAATTCACGTACAAGATGACTTAGTATCACAAGTATGAGGATTACTTACACCACTGATACATGAGAGTATTTTCATAGACACTTGAGTGAAATACCAAATAGAACTCTCATAATGGATCATGTTTAGTGAACTTGATCCAAAATAAATACCCACATGCTATTCCCAAGTATCTCGTACACTTCAACTTGTTAGCTTAGTTGCTTACTTCCAAAATAAGGAGGCTTAGCATGTACCAGCCTTTAAGCATTATCAATGCCCTTATTCTTGATAATACAATGACCAGGAACATATTTAAGAGCAAGACTTTGACGCATAAGAATCTCATAATTATAATCTTTATAATTTCTTTGCAAAGTCATTATGTTCTAAGGATTTTATCTGCACAAATCTCATTTTACTTTTTATAAATAAACTCATGGATAAAGAAATACCTCATACATTATAAAAATATCCATAATGTATTTAACATGAGTTATGATGAATTAAAATAGTGTTTTTCAACTACGAAACTAATTGGCTTGTAGGGCTTACACTAACAATCTCTTGCTAACATTAAAGCCAATTACCTAAGCATCAAATATCAAAGCCCTCTAAGTGGTAATCATGTTTTTGTAAGGATAGAACTTTAGTGAGAGGCTCAGCTAAGTTGTCCTCCATTGGTACTTTCTCCATATTCATATCACCTTTCCCAATGATCTCCCTGATAAGGTGATAACGCCTCAATACATATTTAGACCGTTGATGAGACTTAGGTTCCTTTGCTTGTGCAATGGCTCTATTATTGTCATAGTACAAAATTACAAGATCAACAATGCTAGGAACTACACCAAGTTCAGTTATGAACTTCTTAATGCAAACTCCCTCTTTTGCTACCTCAAACATAGAGATGTATTCAGTGTCAGTTGTAGAATATGCAATCATTGCTTGCTTGGAGCTTTTTCAACTGATAGCACCATCATTTAAGGTAAATATAAACCCACTTTGCGATTTGTTGTTATCCTTATTAGATTGGAATGCAACATCTCCATATCCCTTAACTTAGAGTTCAGCCCCTCCATAGACCAAGAAAACATCCTTAGTTCTTCGTAATTACTTAAGGATATTTTTCACAATGATTTAGTGACTCACCTAGATTTAATTGGTATTTGCTTATGACACTCAGAACATACGCCACATCTGATCTAATATATAACATGGCATACATGATGGACCCAATTGTTGAGGCATATGGTATTCTGTCCATTCTCATATTTTCCTCTTGTGTCTTTGGACTCATATATTTTGAGAGATGAATGCCATGTGACATAAGCAAGTGTCCTTTTTTGGACATAATCATGCTAAACCTCTATAGCACCTTTTCTATGTAAGTGGATTGAGATAATCCTAATAGCCTCTTTGATCTATCTATATAGATTTTTATTCCCAAAATATATACGACTTCTCCTAGATCCTTCATGGAGAATTGTTTGGATAGCCAGATATTCACAGTCTACAGCATTGTTATATCATTTCCTATTAGTAACATGTCATCAACATAAAGTACTAAGAATACAACTGCTTGTCCATTTACCTTTTTCTAAACACATGATTCATCAAGATTCTGGACAAAATCATATACTTTAATAGTTTCATCAAATATGATGTTTCAACTCCTAGATGCTTGTTTCAGCTCGTAAATGAAATTTTAGAGGTTACATACTTTATGTTGATTCTCCTTGGATGTAAAACCTTCAGGTTGTGCATATACACTTCCTCCTGCAAATTCTCATGAAGGAATGTTGTTTTTACATTCATCTGCCATATCTCATAATCATAACATGCAGCAATAGAAAGCAAAATCCTAATGGATTTAATCATGGCTACAGTTGAGAAGGTTTCCTCATAATTGATCCTTCAACTTAGTTGTAACCTTTAGTAACCAACCTACCTTTGTACATTTGTACATTACCATCTATGTCAGTCTTTCTCTTAAAGACCCATTTACATCTTATGGGTTTTACCCTTTCAGGTGCATCAACCAAAGTTCATTCTTGATTGACATGCATGGCATCCATCTCCGATTTCACGGGCTTAATCAATTGGCAAAACATCTCTTTCCAACAGAAATCTATATCTCTCTAAAAGTTGTTTTTGTCTCATAGACTTATAAAGCACTTGTGTTTCTTGAGCACTAATTTGAGCATCCAATGCTTCAATCATCGGCTCCAATTCCATAGGGATGTCAGTTTGTGGTTCATGAACCTCTTCAAGAATTATCTTACTCCCACTAGTCCTTCCAAGTAGAAACTCTTTTACCAAAAAGTGGCATGTTTCGAGACAAACACCTTTTACTTGATGGGATTGTCAAAATAATATCTTACAGTTTGTTTAGGATACCCTGCAAACTTGCATTTATTTGATCTAGCTCCAGGCTTATCAGATGATGCACGCTTCACATAAGCTGGACATCCCCAAATCCTTGTATAAGACAAGTTTGGCCTTTTGCCATACCACATCTCATATGGTGTCTTCTCAACCGATTTGGTTGGAACCTTGTTATGAAGGTAAGCAACAGTCTCTAAGGCATATCCTAAAAAGGATATAGAAAGGTCTGCCCT